AGAAAACAAAAACCAAAAAACCCACCTTAATAATTTCCAGACAGCAATTGTAAGTTTCAACTTTCACTTGCAGTAATGGGTGAGATAACATGCGTAGAAACACCTTCTGACTTTCTCCTTGAAGTAATGGACTGGCCTGTGCAGATTTCCAACTGGTAAAAAGATAAAATATCCAAGACATCTAAGGTAAGTGAGTTATTAAAGAGACTGAAAAGCATAGTGGAAGGGGTTTCTTCCTACTCCAACTCTCCAACTGAGATCTTATTTAACTAACCCAGTATTAATTGACCTAAGCACTTACTTGTCTCAATGGAAAAAAATATTCTCTTAAAAAGTACAAAAAAATTCTTTAAAAACCCATATTTGGAATGTAAACTGATACAGCCATTATCGAAAACAGTATGGTGTTTCCTCAAAATCAAAAGTAGAACCTACCATATGATCCAGCAATCCCACTACTGATTATAAATGCAAAGGAAATGAAATAAGTATCTCGAAGAAATATCTGTACTCCATGTTCATCCCGGTATTATTCACACTAGCCAATACAGCTGACCTCTGAACAACACAAGGGTTAGGGGCACTGACCTCCATGCAGTTAAAAATCCATGTATAACTTTTGACTCCCCAAAAACGTAACTAGTAATAGCCTACTGTTGACCAGAATCCCTCCAAGTAACATAAACAGATGATTAACACATACTTTGTATTTTATAAGTGTTACATATACATTGTAGTCTTACAATAAAGCTAGAGGGGAAAAAAAGTTTAAAAAATCCTAAGAGAAAATACATTTACAGTACTGCACATATATTTATTGAAAAAACCCTCATATAAGTGGACCTTCAAAGTTCAAATCTGTGTTGTTCAAGAGTAACTATATATGAAAACAATCAAGTGTCCATGGATGGATGAACAAACAAAAAAAAATGTAGTATATATATATACAATGTAATATTATTCAGCCTTAAAAAAGAAAGAAATCCTATCATTTGTAACAACATAGATGAAGCACGAGGACATTATGTTAAATTAACCTAAGCCAGGTACAGAAAGACAAATATACTGCATAATCTCATTTATATGTGTAATCTAAAAATGTCAAACTCATAGAAACAGAGAGCAGAATGGTGGTGGCCAGGGGCTGAGGAACACAGGAAATGTGGAGATGTTGGTCAAAGCGTACAAGGTTTCAGGTTTTCAGGATGCACAAATTCTGGAGATCTAATGTTCTCTATGATGACTACACTTAATAATACTGTATTGTATCCTTGATACTTGTTAAGAGAACAGATCTTAAATGTTCTTACCACACATAAACACACACACACACATAAACATTAACTATGTGAGGTAATAAATTAATTAATTTAAAAATCCCATACTTAATATTTTTTTTTAAGATTTTTATTTATTTATTTGACAGAGAGAGAGAGACAGCAATAGACGGAACACAAGCAGGGGGAGTGGGAGAGGGACAAGCAGGCTTCCTGCGGAGCAGGGAGCCTGACGTGGGGCTCGATCCCAGGACCCTGGGATCATGACCTGAGCCGAAGGCAGACGCCTAACGACTGAGCCACCCAGGTGCCCTCCCATATTTAATATTTATCATCATGGAATTTACTCTTTCCAAAAGCAATGAAGATAGTAAATTCTAAATAGGAATCTGCTCCAATGTCTTCAAAATATTTATTTAAGATTTTATTTATTTATTTGAGAGAGAGAGAGCATGAGCAGAGGGAGGGAGAGTGAGAAAGCAGACTTCCCTGTTGAGCAGGGAGCCTGATGTGGGGCTCAATCCCAGGACCTTGGGATCATGACCTCAGCCAAAGGCAGACAGACACTTAACCAACTGAGCCACCCAGGCACCCCCAATGTCTTCAAAATAAACTAACCAATGCATGATGCATTCTAAAAATCCATATAGGAAAAAGGTAGGAAGCAATGAAACATTAAAAAACCCTCAATTAAGTTATTAATTAAAACTTTAAAGATAAATAAACAAATATGCTTGAATACTTAGTTTGGATGGATACAAAAACAAATGTATAAAAATCCAGGGATAATTCATTTTGATTACAGGCATGACATTTTTAAAGTTTACCCCTGAATAAAATAGCTGACTGCCCTAATGCAGCTATATATATAGTTTAGAAGTCAGACATATATAAAAACAATTTTAACTAAAAAACAGTAACAAGATTTAAGACCAGTTCTGTTTTCATTGCTTCTAAGTGCACACATACACAGTACACCCTATAATAATATAATCATATCAAGAAAGAGAATATTACATCTTTGAACACATGCAGATGATTTCCTTTATTAGGGGGAAATGCTGATGATAGGAAAAGCTTCGCAAGGCTTGGTCTGCCAGCTCCACTAATTCTAAGAGATTCTTCTCTCCCTAAAAAAAGGGCAGAATGAAACAGTAAATGTCAAATTCACGTACAAAAGAATTCTCAACAGCTAACTAAGCAACTTCAAGAAATTAGATCATTCATTAAGAAAGAAAACAGATGAACATATGGGAAGGGGTTGGGGGAGGAGACAGGAAAATAAACCATAAGAGCCTCTTATCGATAGAGAACTGAGGGTTGATTGATGGAGGTGGCTGCAGGATGGGGCAGATGGGTGAAAGGTATTAAGGAGGGCACTTTTCGTGATGAGCACTGGCTGTTATATGTAAGTGATGAGTCACTGAATTCTACTCCAGAAACCAATATTGCACTGTATGTTAACTAAGTAAAATTTAAATTTAAAAAAAAAAAAGAAATTAGATCATTCAGAGTCCTTGAGACTGTTAATATTTGCTTAAGTCCACTTTTCCAACAAGCAAACTAAAAATGTCAGCCCAGGAGGAAAAATTCCTCACGAAATGCCCAAGACAGGTTTCTATTTTTCACCTCTAAGTAGGCTTAAGGTTACAATTGAGTGGCTATTTGTTTGTAGCCCTATTTCCCTACTAACTGTAGACTCAGAGCAGGACTCATGTATTTTTATGATCCATTTCCCCCTTCTACATCCTGACTGCTTCTACAAACATAAAGGACAACCAATACATGCATGATTAACTGACCATGCAGAATACCACAGAAATAATTCAATTTAAAGACAATCTGCACTTCTATCACGGAGGAAACAAGAAGCCATTGGCATTGAGATATGGCTAAAGAAAAGGAAAAAAAATAATGGTAACTAAAGGAAAATTAGAGGTTGAGATAGCTTCCACTGTAGGGAATAAAAGGAATAAATATTTAGCTCCTAATTTTTTAAGATCTTCAGGACCCATTTTGGTACTTTCAAACAGTAAACAACTATTGTAGTCAGTGTCTATTTTAAGACTCACTAACCCCTTCATTGATAACATATTAAACATCCTAATTAACAGTTTCTCTAAAAGGGATAAATAACAATATATAATTATTGCTATAACATGGCACCTAGTCATCCTACCTTACAAACAATCTAGCTCATGGTTTTATTTAATAAAAATCAGGCTCTTTGTTTGAGTGAGTACTAAGAATCCATAAAATATTAAAGGAAATGTGTGTCTACAGATAAGCACTAAAATGGCCCTTATAGTTGTGTTTATGTCAATTGTCACAGTGTTCATACAAAGTAAATCACTTCAAAAAGGAACTCACTATTAAATATTCAGACATTGATAATAATTACTGCCTTTTTAAAAACCACCGGTCTCATGAATACACACCATTCATCCATCTACAGTCTTCGTTTACCTGCCCCCTCATGCAGTAGGCAGTGCATCAGTCTCATAACACCTTCGTTTACCTTTACACAAATCATATCCTTACTTTAATATGATAAATGACCATTCAGTAATAATATACCCCACCTCCAACAATTCAGTTATGATACGTCCATTGATTTGAAAGTATAGGCTACATTTTCCAAATATTTTAGCAAAGGAATATTTCAAAGATATTAACAAAACTGTTTACCTCCTTCCCAACATCAGACAGGAAGTTACAGGTACATTCAATTGAATAAACAGCCTCTGCAGTTCGTTTATAAATACTGTAGTTTTCAGAATTCAGCTGTTCCAAATATGCCACAACAGCTTCGTGAATATTTGGATATTCCAAAGAAATAGGCATGTCCAAAGAAACTAGAAATAATGCTGCTGACATAGACTCCGGTAAAAGGTGGCTTGCCTTAATGAATTAAAAAAAAAAAAAGTTAAAAAAATTTTTAAGAGAAACATGGTAGACTACTCATGTAGGTAGCTCAACTTCCTATTTTTATCATTCTCTAGCACAAAGTCTATGCTTTTCCAAAGAAAATTCTATTCCCTAATGCACTACTCACTTCTGTGTCTTGTTCAATGTAATTTTTCTCTGCCCAGAATAACTCAAGTCCAAATTTCAACATTTTCCCAAAACCTGGGACACAGGATACTTAACTTCTTCCCCAAACCAACAACCAGAACTACCAACAGCTAGAACTGGACCCTCCACCTTGTTTATAACTCTGCTACTGAACTGAAGGCAGGAGGCTTTTTGATCTGATTATTTCCTGCTGTGCACATAAATCTCCAGAATAACGCAATAAACTCCTGAAGACGAGCACTTCCCAACCAAACAAAGCTGAACACATAACCCAGGGCTTATTAACTACATATTGAATTGAATAACACTAAATCAAACATAACTACAGATTGATTTGAACAGAAATTGATTTTTTGTTTAGTTTGTATTTTAGAGGGAAAAAGGGAAATTCAACAATATTTAAATAGTTCTAGAACACCCAAAGAAGACTGACCCTTAATTAGTATAAAACCACAGGCCCAAATGAAATATTACATATTTTAACTTCAACTGATTTAAAATTGAAAGAACTGTTTGGGTTCTGTTTTTTTAATGATTATAGTTTAGTGATAGGATTCTATGAATCAATTAAGGAAACAAAAAGGATTAAAAATTTAATGTTTGGAGAAAATCATTTGGCAGAGCTCACTACTTTGGCTGAAATAATGTCTTTATTAAAGTAGGTTTGGTCACCATTTATTTCATGGATAACTTATTTTAAGAATAATTAGTTACCGCCTGAAAATCTAAAATTAAGGTCTGAATCAGTTAAAAAATGCTTCTGTGTGAAATAAAGTTGCCAAATAAATATCAGAAACCAAAGGAATCAAACATAAGCATGAAAAATAAAAACCTGCTATTAAGATAGCAGCTATTAGAAAGTCAAGAGAAATTTCATGATTCTGTGAAGAACTCTCTTAGTGGGGAAAAAAGAGAGGCAAACTGAATTACCTGATCACCTATTATTTGCTCACTCAGCAAATATTTATTGGGCCTACTGTGTTCCCCTACCATAAGCCAGATCCTGGGGGCACAGCAGGAAGCAAACAGAGCCTCTGCCCTCACAAAGTGAACATTCCAGTGAAGAAGGCAGAGTAAATCAATATACTTCATAAGATATAAGGTGTGACCAGCAGTGCTAAGAAGAAAAACAAACAAGGGATGGGAAAGATGGAGAGGAAGAGATACAATGCGGAGCAGAACAAGGGAAGTGCTACTACTCTAGAGGGGAAGGCCTCTCTGATAAGGCAACATTTAAGTAAAGACCTGGAGGAGTGAGGAGCTGTGTGGATTATCTGGAGGAAAAGCATCCGTAGAAGAGGGAACTGCAAGTACAAAGACCCAGAGATAGGGTATATCTGGCAGCAAGAAGACCAGTGAAGCTAACACTGAAGGATGGGCACAGGGGCAAAGTGACCACATCAGCTAAGGCTTAAAACTTGTCTTTGGAGGAAGCACTGGAAAATTTCAAGCAAGTATGGAGAGCAGTCTGTAGGGAAAAGGTGAAACAGTGCAAGGGTGGAAGGTGGGACATCATTGAGGAAGTTACTGCAACAATCTAGGCACGAAAGGTGCTTGAACCCTGGTAACAGCGGTGGGAATGGCAAGAAGTGTTCAGATTCCAGATAGATGTCAAGGAAGAAATGACCCTTCTGCAGAGGGACTAGATCCAGGGATGTGTGAAAGACAGGAATCAAGGATGACTCTAAGCGTTCTGCCTGATCAACAACCAACTAGAAGAATGAAGGTGCTATCTACCCAGAGAAGGAAGACTATAGAAAGAACAGAGCAGAACTGAAAAACAAGTTTGCAGTTCAGGGGACACATGTGTTCTGGAACTATAAATCCAGGAGGTGTCAGCAAATGGATGGTATTTAAGACCACAAATGGGAGGATATCTCATGAGGACCTTGGTCAGTCCTGGGGTTCCACTCCTTTCAAAGGTTAGGAAGAGAAAGAGGAATTAGCCAAGGAGATTTTGTGAGTTGGGCACTATGCTAAGATACCAAATCCTCATGGATTTAATGCCAAAGGCACTGTGTTCTAATTTTAAAAGAGCTCTCTCTGACTCTAGTCAGAAAAGTAAGAATAGCTGATGTGAGAATTAAGCACGAGCAGATGTCTAGCATATCTCACTTAATAAATATTAATTTCCTTTCTTCTTTTCACCCCAACACTGAGGAATTCTGACATCTTCACTCTTCCTCCCTACATCTGAAACTTCATCATCTCAGCAACTCAAAGCACCATGCTACAGTCTCAAATTTAATGCTGGCATGGCCCAATGGACTGATCACAGTCGAGAGACTGAAGACAGCTGTCCTATATATATAAGCATTAGTTACGTGTCAGTCAGAACTAAAAGTGAAGATACTTCAAAGCAAATCCATCACCACTATTAGATAAAAACAATCAACAACATCACTTCATGTGCTGAGGGGGAAAGGGGCATAACACTGCTCTCTCTATACCTTCCCACTCAGAGCAGGCACAGCATTATCTAAAGGGCTTGTTAGGACGCAGACTTTCAAGTCCTACTCCAGAACTAAAGGATGTAAATATGCAAGATCCTAGGTGATCCGTCTGCACATTACACTTTGAGAAGTGCTACTCTGAATCTATCAGCTTTAGCAAATTATTAGATTATATATATCTCACTGAAAAAGTCAAAGCCTTGTGGTATAAATTCTTCTTTACCCTTAGTCAGCTAGCTAAGAAACAGTCCCAGAGGTTCCTAGGATGCTCTGGATCCTGCTTCCAGCACAGGGCCAGTATTTTTAGCTCTTATTTTTACCAATTTGATTTATCCAACCAAGTTATTTTTCATAAGATTACTAATGCATTGTTTTAACCTGTACATAGGTATTGTCCAAAATCTTTTCAACCAATAATTATCAACTTCAGAAAGGCCTTCAAGGTCATTTTGTCAAAACTTTCAAATCCAGGAAATCTCTACACAGATTCATATTATCATTTTCCAACTTCCAAATTATATATTTGGGAAGTGGCAACTCATATTTAAAAACCACTTTCCAGGTTGTAAGTTTCAGAATCCAAACTGCACTTCAACTTTTGGTGGGCCAGCAACAGGCAGAGGGCAGCATAATCTTGTATTCATATAAACTGAAAGAAGACATTTAACAGCAATGGCAGAGGATTTTTGTTTAGATCTCATTTTAAAGTTCTTAATCAAAGCAATTACAACCATCTACAAACTGATACCCTAATTGCCATCTCCTCCATGGCCTTCTAATGAAGTGCCAACTACCAAAATTCACAGATACTTACTTGCCTTCAAAAACAAAAACAAATAAAAAATAACTAACTTCAAAAAGTAAAAGAGGCATGAAGGCTTTATATTATTCTAACACTGAAGTAACGCAAAATAAAACAAATTACTGATTTCTACTTTAGTTGATTCCTGCCCAAAAAGCACATAAATGAAAAAAATCTATAATAAGCAATAAATAAAACTATATGATATAATTGATAAGTTTTCCATCAATAGTACAACCTATAGATAGATTGATCATTTGCAATACTTAATAACAAGTTAATATAGCACTACTAATTTTTCAGTATATAATATCATGTAAAGTGAGACTTCCATATTTTAAATGCAATTACAATCTTATATGACTGGAATTCTTCAATTTATAATACTTCTAACATTGGAAAATTTCCTCAACACGGAGAATTTCTTCAGATTAGTCACTTCTTCACAGTAACTAATGAATGAAGTTAAAAATTAAAATTAACAAAAGTGATGCTCTTTTCCCTAAAGCAAAATACTAAATTTAATATTTAATATTTTGGGGTGCCTGGGTGGCACAGTCGGATAAGCATCTGACTCTTGGTTTCGGCTCAGGTCGTGATCTCAGGTGGTGAGATCGAGCCCTCTGTCAGGCTCTGTGCTCAGCACAGAGTCTGCTTAAGATTCTTTCTCTCCTCCCTCTGCCCCTCCTACTTGTGCACACGCTCTCTCTCTCTCTCTCTTTCAAATAAATAAATCTTTAATAAAAATTTAATGTTTTATTCTTGCTTTCCCAGGTGACCTGATAGTATATTGCATATATAAGTGTTATGAAAAAATGGAGTTTAGACTATACGCTCTGCAGAATTCCACAAAAGGGCAAATGTCTATAACAAAGGACAACAAAAGGCACAGGAACTAGTTCTTTAGTTGCAGTAATTTCTCCCATATCTTCATCAAAACATGCCACACCTTTCTTTTTGCAATAAGTACACTATAAAACATATGTGTGTGAATCACTTGAGATATTTTACCACTAACATTCAAATTCAGAGATGATTTAAAAGAAATAGGTACACCTACTAAAATCATCTTTAATATACAGTTATAAAATGGAATTGTATTTTTCAATAAAAACAAACAACTGCTATAAGCAACAACAGTGATGAACCTCAAAAAAGATCTTGAGCAAGTACATACCTTATAATTCCATTTATGTAATGTCGAAAAACAGACAAACTGATCTATATTGACAGAAGTCAGAAAGGAGGAGTTTAGCTTGGACGGAGGAAGGAGAGGTAATGGATGGGAAGGGACTTTGAAATGCTGGTAATAGTCTATTTCATGTTCTGGGGTGGTGGTCACTTTTTAAACACAGATATATTCACTTTGTAAAAATGCAGTGAACTGTGTACTTTCTAAACATGTTACACCACAATTCTGTTACTTAAAGAAAAAACTTTTTTAGAATTACTGGTATTTTTCTATTAAATGATTTGTCAAAACTGTTCAGAAATGTTAGTCTTTCTCAATGACTACATTTCCAATATAATCTTTGTACGCCATGAAGTGACCGGAAGAAATACATGACAGAGCACTTACTTGTAATATTCCATACACTACAAGCAACATTGCCTGCCTTACCTTCTCAACAGGGAGAAGCAACTGCAGTACTCGGACTGCAAACAGTGAGATGCTGACAAAGGCCATCCGGTGGTGCACAAGCATGACCTGGGGCTGGTCCACGCTCACTCCGCTTTTATGGTAGCACATGGTATCTCCCAGGGACCCCAACACCACGAGGAGTTTCTCTTTCTGCAGACATTTAAACACGAAACAGGAAAACAATAAATTTCAGGGAGCCAGGATGGAAAATTTCACGGAGAATAATTTAAGATACTACGACTGAAGAACAAAAACCAAAACAAAAATCTGTTCCTCCCTGTAACAATGACCTATACCGGGCGCCTGGGTGGCTCAGTCGGTTAAGCGTCTGTCTACAGCTCAGGTCATGATCCCAGGGTCCTGGGACTGAGTCCCGCATCAGGCTCCCTGCTCAGTGGAGAGTCCGCTTCTCCCTCTGCCTGCCTCTCTCTCTCACTCCCTCAATCTCACTGATTGATTGATAAATAAATAAATCTTTAAAAAAAAAAAGAATAACCCATACCTGCTGAAGTAATTTAAAGCAGTACAAACGGAAAATAAGCACACCTAAAGTTTCTTCAAACAATACTTCTGATAATGAATAAAAATAAACAAAATACAAAAGCTTAACGAAACAAACTCCTCCTAGTTTCTAGTGCTTAATTATTCTAACTTCAAAAATCAGCATGCAAATCTCTCATGAAGTATTTATTAGGCTTAGTATATGCTTAACACAGTGGCAGGTATAATGGGGAAAAATGCATTAGCACAAGAGACATCCCTGCCCTCAAACTGATCCTAAAGTTACTAAAGAAATGAAACAGGGAAAGTCAGATCATTAAAAAAACAATTAAATATAAAATTGTATAAACTCTCCACGTAATAAGGTTATTTTAAGGCAAATGTTCTGCCATCATAAATTTATAGATAATTTAGTACTTAACTAGAAGTTATATCCTTTAAGTTGAAAGGCATACATAAAATACAAAGAGAAAGCTACAACATAGTCGGCTAACTGCAAATCATAACAATATAGACCAAAATACATCTTACACATGCTGACATGGCCCATAAACGAGCTGGTAAAAGGATAGCATCAGTAAGATAGTAGAACAAACAAGCACTGGAGATCTTACTCTCACCTTTCCATTGAGAATATAGGAAAATAAAAATAGTAAATAACCTGTAAACTAAGGATAAAAATGTATGCCACATTTTTTTGTTCAAGGATAAATATATTGGAAGCAAAATTAAAAGGTATGAGGCCCCCAAAAAATTATATACAGGATCAAAGTCACAATGAGATATGGCTTCACATCCATTATGATGGCTATTATCAAAAATAATGGAAAATAACATGTTTTAGCAAAGATGCAGAGAAACTAGAACCTTTGTGAGTTGCTGGTGAATATGTAAAATGGTCAAGTCAGTTTGGAAACAGTATGGCAGTTCCTCAAAAAATTAAACATAAAAATACTGTATGATCCAGCAGATTCACTTTTGGGTAATATACCTATGAGAATTGAAAGCGGCGACTCAGACACGTACTTGTACATCATTGTTCACAGAAACAGTATTCACAATAGCCAAAAGGTGGAAACGTGTCTATCAATAGATGAACAGATAAACAAAATGTGGTACATCATATATATGTACAGTGAAACATCATTCAGCTTTAAAAAGCAATGAAATTCTGACACATGACATAATATGGATGAGCCTTGAAAACATGCTAAGTAAAATAAGCCAGATACAGAAAGACTGATATTGTATGATTCATTGCACTTACATGAGGTACCTACAACAGTAAATTCATAAAGAAAAATGTAGGATAATAGCTGCCAGGGGCTGGGGAAAAGGGGAAAGGAGAGTTACTGTTTAGGGTACAGATTTCAGTTTGAGATGATGGAAAAGTTTTGGAGATAAACAGTGTGATTGTACAACAATGTGAATGTACTTAATGACACTAAATTATATACTCACAAAGGGTCAGAATGGAGCTACCCTATGACCCAGCAATTGCACAACTGGGTATTTACCCCAAAGATACATATGTAGTGATCCGAAGGGGGTACATGCACCCCAATGTTTATAGCAGCAATGTCCACAATAGCCAAACTATGGAAAGAGCCAAGATGTCCATCAACAGATGAATGGATAAAGAAGATGTGGTGTGTGTATATATATATATATATACACACAATGGAATATTATGCAGACATCAAAAAAATGAAATCTTGCCATTTGCAACGACGTGGATGGAACTAGAGGGTATTATGCTGAGCGAAATAAGTCAATCAGAGAAAGACAAGTATCATATGATCTCATTGATATGAGGAATTTGAGAAACAAGACAGAGGATCATAAGGGAAGGGAAGAAAAAATGAAACAAGATGAAACTAGAGAGGGAGACAAACCATAAGAGACTCTTAATCTCAGGAAACAAACTGAGAGTTGCTGGAGTGGAGGGGGGTGGGAGGGATGGGGTGGCTGGGTGATGGGACACTGGGGAGGGTATGTGCTATGGTGAGCGCTATGAATTGTTTAAGACTG